GTAGAATTGGACATGACTGAGTAACAACAACAATGACTAAGTGTCCCATGAAATCATATTTCTTACAGCTCTGGGGTATGTGATTACTGTTTCCATTTTTTGTAGGGTCACCTATGTGCCATCCTTCCCTTGTGCTGCAACTTCTTTATTCTGATTTCATTTGAAGCAAGAATGTCAAGTTTAATTTGATTCAGCTTCTCCAGCATTATGTCCACTCACAGGTCACTGAACAAGATCTCATATTTAATTTGACTGGTGGCACTCTAAAGTTTGCTGATGTTTTAAAAGCTGTGATTCTTATCCTTCTCTGTCCCCTTTCTGAACCACTGCCACTCCAAAAACTGAAGGGGACCACATAGGGACTTTACGGACTAAGGCCCATTTTCATTTTTCCCTATTTCATGGGTAGTAACAGCCAAAAAAAGTTTCATCACCAAGTGGTGATATCACCACTGGTGATATAATTTTCCACGATTAGTTAATCATTGGTAGTCCTCAGAAAATAGATTTGATCTTTTGGGGATTGGCGGGGGGGGGGTTGTTGGCTTATGGGGGGAAAGATCACAAAAGGCTTCAAAGAGAAGGTGGTTCCTGAGCTAAGCCTTGAAGAAAGAGAAGGATTCCAAGGAGTATATTCTACATGCATGAAAAAAAAAACCACATGGGAAAGAGAATGACATATTGAGTTCTATAGGTTAGTTTGAATGGAATGCAGATAACACGAAGAAGAGTAAGATGAAATAACTCTGGAAAAGTACATAAAAGCCAGATTGTGGTGAGCTACATTTAAATTACAGTCTTGGAGAAGAACTCAAAGCTATCAATAGTCTTATGAAAATATGCTCTACATCACAATTGATTAGAGAAATGCAAATTAAAACAACTCTTGAGGTACTACCTCACACTTATCAGATTGGCTAACATGACAGAAAAGGAAAATAATAAATGCTGAAGGGAATATGGGAAATATAGGGATACTAATGCACTGTTGGTAAAATTATAAACTGGTCCAACTATTCTGGAGAATAGCTTGGAACTATACCCAGAAGGCTAAAAACCGTGCATACCCTTTGACACAATAATACTACTACTAGGTTTGTAATCCAAACAGATCAAAGAAAAGGGGAAAGGACCTAGATGTACAAAAATATTTATAACAGCTTTCTTTGTATGGTGACAAAGAATTGAAAATTGAGGGGAAGCCTATCATTTGGGGAATGGCTGAATAAACTCTGGTAATGATTGTGATGGAATACTATTGTGCTATAGGAAATAACGAGCAGGATAGTTTCAGAAAAACTTGGGAAGTCTTATATGAACTGATGCAAAGTGAAGTGAGCAGAAGCAAGAGAACATCATACATAGCAACAGCAATATTATAACGATGATCAACCATGAAAGAAGTAGCTACTCTGATCCAGACAATGAGCCATGACAATTCCAAAGGACCCAAGATAAATACTGCTATCCACTTCCAGAGAAAGAATTGATAAAACTCTGAGTGCAGATTGAAGCATACTTTTTTCGCTTAAAAAAAAAAACCAAACAACACACTACCATCTGAGAAGTCTGTATTATATCCTAGAAGCAAAAAGTAAGAATACAAGTGTGTTATGGTCAAACACATTCTTGAGAAGATGATTTTGGCACTATGTAGAAGGCAGAGAGTGGAAGCAGGGAGACCCATTAAGAACTAATGCAGTAAGCCAAAAGAGAGGTAATAAAGGCTCAGTATAGTGGCTATGTGAATGGAGAGGAGATAGCTGCAAGAGATATTGTGATTCAATTTGGGAGGGAGGAAGGGGGAACAGCCTTTGATGACTCTAAAGTTGCCAACCTGGCTAACTAGAAATAAGATAGCTTCCCAGCGCTGGAGCTGGGAAGCAATTAAAAAGCCATGTCTTTCAACAAATCACTCACTTTACAGATGAGGAAAGTGAGAGCCAAGCAGGTTAAATGATGTGTCCAGTTACACTGGTCGTGTCAAGAAGTAGGATCTGAACCCAGATCTTCTGACTCCAGGGCCAGTGGTCTTTTCACTGTATCACACTAATGTGGCCTCTCCAACTCACCCAACCATTCCCATGCCCCAAGAAATAGGGGAAAAAAGAACGAGTTCCATTTTGGACATGTTGAGTTTGAGATGCCTATGGTTAATCAGTTTGTAGGCGTCATATGCAGGCCTCAAGTTTGAGAGAGATATTAGAGATGGATACATATAAAGAGAAATTTTAGGACTCATCAGCACAGAGGCCACAGGAACAAATGAAATAATCAAGAGAGACAATGTTGAGAGAGAAGAAAAGAGGCCCAAGTTAGCCTGGGACAGGGGGAGAAATACCCTCATGGTTAGGGTGGCAGGAAATGGATGATGATCCAACAGGAGAAAATAATAATTAGCCGGAGAAAGAAGGAAAATGGAGAGAAAACCATGTTATGTGTGTCTAGGGAAGACATACATGTCCAGGGAAAGGTCAAATAGATGTTGAAGTGATAATATCAATGAGACTTGCTACCTAACCGGTTAGCAGTGGGGAAGATGGAAAAGGGAAGAGTCTATGATCCCTCTGAGGTTGTAAATCTCAAAGACTTATATATAAGGATGATCAACAAAAATGGGGAAGGGTAAGAGGAAGATAAGGAATTCTGTTGAGTTAGTTTGATATGCCTATAAGGCATTCAGAGAAGCTATATGACAGGCAGTTGATGATGCTAGATGGCAGTGCAGGCCCAAGGTTAGGGCTGGATAGAATAGATTTGGGGGGCATATGCAAAGAGAGATGAGCTTAGTTCACGGGACCTGTTGAGAGCTGCAAGAGTGAGGATGAAAAAAGAGCATGCACAAAGGAGGCCTGAGGAAGAGAACAGATGATGATCCAGGTAAAAGGGATTGAGGAGGGTTGATAGGTTGGAAGAGAAGTAGGAGAGAACACTGTCATGACGGCCAAGGGAGGAAATAGCTCCAGAAGGAAGGAATGATCTAAACAAGCTGTTTCCCCAAACTCAGCATCTTTGCAAAGACTGAACCTCAACCCCCATGTCTAGAATGCATTTCCTCATCCATAGCCTAGAATGTTGGTCTTCCTTCAAGGCTCAACCAAGGAGCTTCCTCCTTTATGCAACCTTCTCTGATAGACCCAGATGAGTTTCTCCTTTCTCAAATAGCCCTGGAATATTTGGGGCTTTCCTCTGCCTCCTTCATGCCTTACCCTGGATTATAAATTGTTCTCACATCTCTTCTTTGAGGCCAAGTGTGTGCTTTGTCATTTCCTAACATTTATTTTCTATTGTTTTGTGGGTGCTATTATTTTCTTTTTTTTCTTTTTTTGCTTTTTAGGCAATTGGGGTTAAGTGCCCAGGGTCACACAGCTAGTAAGTATCAAATGGATGGTCTGAGGCTGGATTTGAACTCAGGTCCTCCTGACCTCAAGGCCGGTACTCTATCCACTGCGCCACCTAGCTGCCCCTTATTCTTTTATTTTTACATTGCTGTACACACACACACACACAGATAGGCTCTGCTTATTTCACTTCGCATCAGTTCAAATATGTCTTTGCATTTTCTGCAAGTCTTTGATTCTCTACACTCATTGTTCCTTAAAGAACAGTAACATTTCATTACATTCATGTACCTCATTTTGTTCAGCCAGTCCCCAATCAATAAGCATCTAGTTGATTTCCAGTTCTTTGCTACCACAAAAAGTGCTACAATAAATATTTTGTGGTATATAAAGCCTTTCTTTATTTATCAATGACCTTCTTTGGGTATATGCCTAGCAGTGGAATCTGGGTCACAGAATGTTGACATTTTAGGCATTTTATAAAATGTCATTTTAAAGCTTACAAAGCACTTTACATTTGCTATCTCGTATAAGCAGGATCTCACTTGAATTTCATAACTATACCCTGAAGTAGACTACAGGTTTTATCTTCATTTTTCAGATGAGGAAACTAAGTATCAGAAAGGTTAAATGACTTGCCCCAGGTCATAAAGGTACTACAGTCAAAGGCAGGATGTGAACTCAATCATTCCTGACTCCATTTGGCATTGCAGTAACTATGCCAAGCCTGTCTTTTCTCAAGCCCATTCAGTAAATAAGCATTTATTAAGAGCTTACTATGTGCCAGAGGGGCAGGTAGGCGGCACAATGAGTCAAATAGTTTCATCTCCCAGGGTACAAATCTGGCCTTAGACGTCTAAATTTACTAGCTGTGTGACCCTGGGCAAGTTATTTAACCCTTGTTTGCCTCAGTTTCCTCATCTGTAAAATGAGCTGGAGAAGCAAATGGCAAACCTCTCTAGTATCTTTGCCAAGAAAATCCCAAATGGGGTCATGAAGAGTCAGACACGACCGAAACAGACTGCTACGCGCTGAAGACACAAAGAAAGAAAGATGGGAAACACACACACAGAGTCCCCGCCTTCAAAAGCCCAGTCTAAACAGGGGGAGACAACACGCAAACAATGAGGTAGAAACGGCTCTAAACAGGACAGATCGCGATAATCCACGGAAGGAGGGCACTAATACTAAGGAGGCCAAGGAAAGGCTTTCCGTAGAAGGTGAGATTAGCTGGGACGTGAAAGTAGCCAGGGAGGAGGGAGATGAGGAGGAAGGGCATTCCAGGCCCGGGGAACAACCGGTGAAAACGCCCGGAGTCGGGAGATGGAGTGTCCAGGGTCACTGGATCAGCGTTTGAGGGGCGGAGTCAGGTCTAAGAAGACTGAGGAGGGAGTTTTCAAAGTCAAAGAGGATTGTGCATTTCATCTTAAGGTAATAGGGAACCACCGCAGTTTATGGAGGGATGGCAGGTGACACGGTCAGACCTGCCCTGCCCTTTGGGAAGATCGTTATTTTTACCCCATTAGAAAGCTCTGGACTCTGTTTTCCAAATAAGTCCTCTCTCCTGCGCCCTTTCCCAGCCCCAGGCGGTCCCCGCCCCATGCTAGCTCCGCAGCCTCCGGGAGCGCTGAGCTCCCCAGAGCACAGACAAGCCCCTACCTTCCTAAAGCTAGGACCGTCTTCCTCCATCTCGGCCGCAGAGGCCCGCGAAGAGCTCGGAGACCCCGCCCCGGAGGTCTTGTACCAGCCAATGAGAAATGGCCGCGGGAAGAGGCAGCGCCGCCGTGTCCCGCAGCTCCAGGTCCTGCCCCAACCACTAACTACACGGACGCACGTGTCCGCTCTCCTCCTCCATCCGCCAGTCCCGGGACTCCTCCTAAGCCAAGGCCCCGTGAGGGTTCCTGGGACTTGTAGTTCCTGCCGCCTCCAGGCCTCACGCTGAACTACCTTTCCCAGCGCACCCCGCGCTTCCTGGTTACCGAGGCGCTGCTGGCGGCGGCCGGTGAGTGAGGTGGCTGTTTCCCCCTCCCCCTCCGCGATTGGGGATGCTGGAGTCGGAGTGTAGCTGGGGGGGGAGGGGTCCTCAAACCCACGCCTGTGGGGGGGGGAGAGGGCGGAAAGCAGATGCTACCCCACTACGAATGCCCACTTCTTACCCCGTAACCAGGAGTCAGAAACAGCTACCACCTCCTGCGGAGGTGGGGTGGGGGCCACCACGTCATCAGCCCTCCACTCCACTGACCCCTCCCCATGCAGTACCCTCACCCACTACTCCCTCCCCCATTCAGTGCCTTCTCCAAATCCCCCCCTCCCAGTAGTTGCTTCCCTCATATACTGCCCTCTTCATGTTATCTCCTCCCCCGTTCACTTCTCTCTCTGCCTTTCTGTCTCTCCCTCTGTGTCTGTCTCTCCCTCTGTGTCTTTGTCTCCACCCTCTCCATCTCCCTACTACAGTGCCCCTCTCTACACCATCGTCTCCTGTATACTGACCCCACCAAACACTACCCTTGTTCCTATACTGTTCGCTCTTCTATAGGACCCTCCATATAACCCCTCACCATTCCTGTTACTAGCATTCTGTCCTATGTATCCCCTCCTTTACACACAGTACTACTCTCCCCATACTTATATATAGTCTTTCCCAATATACTACTCTCTCATGAAGAAAGAATTTGTATTTTATTAAAGCACTTACTATGTGCTAAGCACTGGAGATAGAAAAGCAAGACAAGCCCTGCTCTCAAGGAGATCACATTCTAATGGAGGTGACCACACATGTGGAAGGTTTCAGCTGCAAGTCACATGGGAAAAGTCTGGTGGTCCTTAGGGTGCAAGACAAAGCAGATGGTAATACCCCTTCTTTAATGTTGTTGCCACTGATAAAATCACAGCAATTTCTGATATTGTACTATTTGACAGTGCCAAGGACTCTGGGGGCAGAACTTTGTTTTCTGGGTCTTCAGTAACTGGGGCTGGAGCACTTGTAGGACCAGTTGCCAGGCTGTATCTCCCAGGATGATGACTGAGGGCTGGAAGAATTGCTACTCTCAGAGCTCTTGGGTTCAGAGTCTTGGGCTGTCTGCATTGGGATTTAAGGGGAGATGGTGATGGAATTTGACCTGCCTGGCCCATGCCTGCCTCCTGTCTCTTTCTCAGGATGCCTTGTTACTCCAGCTTGGCTGGCTCGCCTGCCCTTGTGTGTGGCAGCTGGTTGACAGTTGATAAGGATGGCTGGTCTCTTCTCCACAGAAGTTGCTTCCCATACAATTGCTGTGAGATGGAGCTGAGCTAGAAGCAGGACTGATGGGCTTGGGTCATGTTGCTACTCCCAGGGCTCTTGTGCTTATCTGCCTGTTGGTGGTAGTTTGCAATTATTGCAGGTAGTGACAAGGAAGGTGGTACCTCTCTCCACAATGATTTCTCCCCTTAGTGATAGCTTGGGGGGTGGGGGGGAGAGCAGGTCTGGTGGTTTGGAGGCACTGCTATGCCCAAGGCTCTTGGGTTCAGGGTTCTAGTTTGTCTCCACTGGAGTTTAAGGGAAGGTGGTAGTCAAATTTGATGGTTATGGTTTGACTTTTTTTTTTTTTTGGCTTTTTGGTGAGGCAATCGGGGTTAAGTGACTTGCCAAGAGTCACACAGCTAGTAAGTGTCATGTGTCTGAGGCCGGATTTGAACTCAGGTCCTCCTAACTCCAAGGCTGGAGCTCTATCCACTGTGCCACTTAGCTGCCCCTCTTGACTTTTTAATATACTTAAGACTACACTGCATTCTTAAACTTCCTTAGGGCCTCTCCATATACCCTGGGAACCATCCCACTGAACAAGAGGACCTCCAGCACGACAAAGCCCACATACCTAGGAACTTCATTTTATATAGGTCTCCTCTATGGGTCCACTGCCTAATCCTTTAGCCCATCCTGCCCTTATCAATACCTACTCTTATCTATCACAGTAACTGAACTGGCATTTTTTTTGGGCAGGGGGAAGGAGAGTAGGAAAGAGGAAGAAGGACCTAATGACTTCCCAACACTTGTCCTGCTTTTTCTAATTTCCTCCCACATCCTTCATCTGGTGAGACCGTATCTCCCATATCTAGTCTTGAAGTGATTTGTTAGAAACTGTAATGTTATCCATCATCCAATCTCGTAGCACGTTGTAGTCCTCTTACGCATTTATCGTGTTCTAATTTGTGTTTTATTTATCTGTGTAGATCTTAAGTTAGCAATGATGAAGGCAGCTTGGCGTAGGAACATCATGCAGCTCTCCCAAGGATTGAGTTGATCACCTCATGACTTGTGAGGCTTTGGAACTGCTAGTTCTCTCATTCTGGAATTTCTCCACAGAAAATCTGGATTGTAAAGAACACAGTGAGGAAGCCTCTGTAGTTTTCCTGAGACAATGGAGGAGTTCCGCCGTTCGTATAGCCGACTGTGTAAGGACAGTGGCGCTGAGCCTCAGGAAGTAGTCCTCAAGCAGCTGCGTGATCTGCAGGAGGGCCATCGCAAGAGGAAGCTGGACCTGGCCACCCAGAGCTTGTCGGTTGACACCTGTGGAGCTCTGGGGAAGCTCCTCCAAAATGATGTCCTATTTTCAGCAGTCCTCCTAAGTGACTGCATGATGAGTGAAGAAGGTGAATGATGGTTCTGGGTACTTGGGCAGAGGCCAGGTTAGATTCTGAAACCTCCTGCTGTTGTCTGGGCTTGGGCAGTTCTGAACTTCTTGTCCCAATCCCAGGTTCAGTTACATCGATTTTCTGATATTTCTATCAACATTTCATTTACTGAACACAGCTACTAAAGTTCCCACTCAGAAGCCAAATCCCTTAAGGCTCCTTCAGCTCTCATGGTGTCTCTTCTCCCAGCCTCACTCTAGACTGGAACAGCCTAGGGAGATGGGAAGAAAGTTTTTCCCTCTTCTGAAAGAGACTTGAGGCCAAATATTTCCCTATAGACCCTAGACTTCCACAACGACGAGACCACTTCCCCATCCTCTTGCTTCCTCTAGGTTTATACCAAACTCTGTGCATTGGCTTAGAAATAAGCTTATTGTCTAATAGCAATTCACCTCTATGAACATCATTTTCCTTGCCTGAAATCTTGAGTATATATGATTTCAGCTTGAGAAAATACTTTTTAGACTTTAAGATGGTGTGTAAATTTAATTTCTTATTATCAATGGGAGAATGCCTATGAGTCTTAGCCTTAGTATTTCCTAACCTGGGAGTCATTTTGGCTAAGTGATTGTAGTGAATTAGAGTAGCATCTTGCTGCTGTGGTCATGACCAAACTGAAAATAAAAAATCTCTTTCCTGGGTCCAAGCAGTTGGCTACAGATAGGAAAAGAAGAATATAAGAGATGACCCAGGGAAGCCCTTGTATTCCAAGAAAAAAACAACTCCTTGTCTCTCTTTCAGGATCCAAACTGCTCATACAAGGACTTTGTTCAAACACAGTAGTTAGATATCTGGATTTAAAGGTGAGCAGATAGAAACATTCTTCACAATAACACCAGACCCAAAGAGCCATGGGGGAGAACAGAGGGGAAAAGGGGGATTGGCAAATATTTACTGTGGGGTATGGTGTCCTGTGGAAGCATCTCGTGATATTGTTTGAATGGCCTAGCTTATATGTGGCCTCACAATTGTTTGTCTAATTGTGTTATATCTTGAATTCATAAAAATCTTTAACCTCAAAGGTAGAGATCATATAGCTCCTACAGTGCCTAATACATAGTGTTGAATGAACGAATGATTGAGTGGCACTAGTCCCGTGAGGGAATGATGTGATGCCAACTTTGAAGAAAACATTTCTTTTTTAAAAAGGCAGTCCCTGATTCCCTTTGGTAGTGTCTTAGGGACCACCCCTAAAGGTCGGCCTAGCCCCAGTTTCACCTAATAGCAGGGTAGAGCACATAGATAGGCTCACTCTGAAGGTAAGGCTGTCACATTGAGAGTCCAGCCTTCAGGAGGGTGAATGACTGATCACTCATCTGTCCTAGGGTAACAACCTTCGAGCTGTAGGGGCTGAGGCTCTGGGCAAACTCCTCCGGCAAAACAAGGCCATTCAAAGGTAAGAGGGTGACCCGCTGCTTACACCTTTCTCATCAATATGGCTGAGGGATGTTCTTAGAGAGAAAAGCTCCCAAACCATTCTCCTGTTCATTTCCATGAGCCTTCGTGGGTACAGGTTGCTTTTCTATGCCAGGCTTCTTCAGCCCTGATGAAGGCTTTTTTCCGCAGCCTTATCCTAGAGTGGAACAGCCTGGGGATGTGGGAAGAAAGTTTTTCGCTCTTCTGTGAAGGGCTTGGGGCCAATACTACTCTGCAGCAACTAGACCTTCGAAACAACCAGATCAACCACAAGGGGGCAGAAGAGCTGGCCATGGCCTTGAAGAACAATTCCACTCTCCTAGACATAGGTAAGGGATTCCATCCAGGCCTGGCCCTGCTGACCCAGCAGCAGGGGAGAGTTGTCTTTCTTTATTTTCCCTGGCCACGGAGCTGCTCTGTGATCTAGCGTGCAAAGGAAACTTGGGATGCTCTTTGGAAAATGAACAATGGTAAGAATAATAGCTAGCATTTCTTATAGCACTTTTTAAGATTTGCCAAAGCACTTTACAAATCCCATCTCATTTGATCCCTCAACAACTCTGGAAGGCTATTATTATCCCCTTGTGACAGATGAGGAAACTAAGGCAAGCACGTTCTCCCTGGGTCACACACTAGTAAGTATCTGAGATCAGATTTGAACTCACGTCTTTCTGACTCCAGGCCTGGCCCTCTGTTCACTGAACCACCTAGGGAACTAGCATATGTTCCCTACGCTGTTGTTATACTTGTATAAGTTAGCAATTCTCTCTGTACCCGGACCACTCTAAGCATTTTGCCATCTTTCCTTCTTCTCCTGCTGTTGCACTTCTCATGTTTTTCAAAAAGTTACAGGTAAGCAATGTGCACTTCTAACTGGGGAGGAAATGGTAACTTGAAATAGAGCTTTTCCTCCAACCCTCTTGAACCAAAGCTCTAGCTCTGTCCCTTTCTTCCTGCACTGCCTCCTCCTCTGCCTTAGGCTCCATAACTGCCTTCTCTGTGATTCCATAGCCCCTCTAGTTGGAATGGGAGAATTAGCAACTGATGGCAAGACTTCTTTTCTATTCTTCTGTCTGGTGGTTTTCTCTGTCCCTGTAATGTTGTCATGTTTCCCCTTCAGATCTTCGTTGGAATAACGTTGGACTCCTGGGAGGTCGGGCAATTGTAAATTGTCTTTCCAACAACAGGACCCTAAGGAAGCTGGAGCTAGCTGGGAACAACATCCCAGGGGATGTCTTGAAAGCTGTTGGTAAGTGGCAGGGCTGGAGAGAGCTGGCTTCTCAGAACTGTGTCTTGAAATTCGACATAAACCAACTCTTAGACTTGACAGGTCCCTTCAGTTGAATCCTTTCTATTGAGGAAGCTAAATATTTTGCAGAACCATC